CTTATCAGGACAAAGAACACCAAGACCATGGTTTTGAAACGTCTTTTGAACAGACAAAACTTCAGTGTTTATGCAATTAGGTTATTACTCGGAGTAAAGCTTACAGACTGACAGTGTTCTGCCCACAGTGGCCAAACACTGTTTAACATCGTTCCAGTTCTAGTCAGGTCTTAATCTAAAAGCAGGTGCTTTGTGAGTGATACTAACTGGTGGTAGAGAAGGGAGAATGAATGGGGATGAGAGAAGAAGGTGAAATGAAAAGGATAGCTGTACATAGTTAAAAAACATTCATAACTGTGTACAGTTCTTACTGATATTCCAGATTCCACAAATACCAAGAAGTTATTTTGCACTTTTAAAAAGATTCTCACAACCCAGATGGTTCTCAAAACAGTTTGCTTCCAAGATTAATTTAACCTAAATTCAAATCAGAAATTAATACTACTTGTTGGCTATGTTAGACAGGGAAAAGAAAACCAACTAAACCAAAACACAAGCTTTTCTCTGCTTCTTATAGCATAGTAATTCATCATTCAAATCCATTTCATTAATGAATCCTGGGAGTACAGAATGCACAAATACCAAGAAGTTATTTTGCACTTTTAAAAAAGATTCTCACAACCCAGATGGTTCTCAAAACAGTTTGCTTCCAAGATTAATTTAACCTAAATTCAAATCAGAAATTAATACTACTTGTTGGCTATGTTAGACAGGGAAAAGAAAACCAACTAAACCAAAACACAAGCTTTTCTCTGCTTCTTATAGCATAGTAATTCATCATTCAAATCCATTTCATTAATGAATCCTGGGAGTACAGAATCCAGCCACAGAATGAAAGCCTCTGGACTAGCACACAGATCTGACACTCATTCTCTTGCACACACTCCTTCCCAAACCAGAGAAAGAAATGCAAAGATGACATTGTTCTGCTTATAACTTCTTTTAAACACAGTTTTTGCAAGGCTACCAGCATCACTCACTTAATCTGTTAACAAACACTATGACAATAACAAGAAAAAAAAGAAATCATTTGCCAAAAACCAGAAGTGCCCCACATGAATTTTAAATGGCAGTCTTAGCTGTTACAAGATGAAAAAAAGTACAAGAGAATAAATTGAAGCCATTAAGTAAAACACAAAGACACTGTTACTACAGGCTCTGCTGGTAGCTTCAAAGCACCCACCACGGTGTAATTTAAATAGTATCAGTGGAGGGAAAAAAGAATTTAAAAAAAATCCGCATCACACTAGCAGAATTAAAGAAAAAACCCACAAACTTCTCTGTCAAAACTAATCTCAACAGCTGTATTTTCACTGTCACAATAGAAAAAAACAGCTGCAAAAAACCAACAGTGTACAGAAAGCAATATAAAAAGAAAAGAGGTCATTAGAGTTTTAAAGAGGCCTTTCACAAAAGGGCAGGTGCATTACTGTGGCAATGCTACTTCCTGAACATGAGGAGAAATAAGTGAATACCTGCCACACATAGAGGCCTGGCTAGGTGATAAAATCCTGAAAGTTTGCAGCCATTAGTGTTTTCTTACCAAGCCTCAACATTTTCATTTTCAAAAGCGTAAATGAGTGGAAATAATTTTTTTGTTCCCTCCCCTGCTTCTATTACTACTGAACCATCTACCATCTTAATTGTACTTACGACTTCACTGTATTAATTTGGGATTATTTTCTTGTCAGGCTTTTGCAGTAATTTACTTTAAAACTTACGGGTAGATTTGGCACTGGTCAAAGCAGTTCAAGGTGAACCATCGCAGAATCTGAAGCTTCTGTGTTCATGTACAATATGGGAACATAAAAGCAGTTGTGGGGCATGCTCCACCACTGTCAAATATCCATAGCTGCCACCAAACAGCCATCAAGTAATTGTTTATGACAGCGGTAAAATTTGAATCTGCAACCTACAGCTGAGACATAGAAGCAAGCATTTAAAAATATATCAACAACTTTTCATACTAAACTTGAAACTGTTTCCAGAGACCCAATTTGCAGAGCAGCCTTGACTCCACCCGTCTGAAAGGCCCTTTACAATTAGCACCCAGCCAAGCACTGAGAATAAAAGTGATTATTTCAGTTTAAAATTCAGTATAAGCTACCTCTCTCCTGTGTCCAAAGCCTCTCGCAGTTTCATGCTAGAACAAGATTTTTATGACTATTCTTCTCTTTCCACTTCAACTTCAGTGCTCTAGAAGGGATCCAGATCACAAAACTTGAATTCACCCTTCAGTAGGTGAACATTATCTAACATTTTATAATGTTGTTTAGTCTCTACTTCCCCAATCACTGCAGTTTTTTCCCTACTGTTTGAGAAATTTAACATCAAATAGCACTTTTGGGCCACAGGGGGAAACTAATGTAAAACTAATTCCCCGGATTGCCATTGTTTATATAAACAGGATTACACCGTCACAAGCCTGAACAACCGGCAACCCTGCCACAACCAATTCCTGAAGTTTTCTTACCTGAAGAAATTTCTTCCTTCACCATACCCATTTCTCCCATCTCCCAAGACAAGTCATTACACATCTATTTAAATTTTCAAAGTTTTATCTTGTTTTTTGGTGTTTTTTTTTTTTTACAAACAAGGGGGGGGTTTTGCTGACTTGACTCTTACCTCTTTGGAAGAGCTTGCCTTAGAATTAATGAGTTTTAAAGACAGCTATCACAGAACACAAACTTTTGGATGGGTACTGGGGGAAAAAGGTGGAAGAAATCACACGTGCAGTGCACCTGATCATTGGATAGCTAACCGTTTCTTCTGGGGGTTATCAGATGTAGTGTTTGCTAAGAGCAGTCACGTTTAAGTTCTCTCCACTCCCTCTTCAGTATCTTGATTTAAAACCTGGAAGTTCCATTATACAAAACCCTAAAAGGGCAGGTAGCTGGAAAAATATTTTCAGATCATGCCACCTCATTCGGGAAAAGCGGTACTTCTCACAGGAAGTAAGAAAACTGGCAAGTCATTAGATACGCAAGAGCAACCACAAACTGTCAGAATTGGTGCTCCCGATTCCATTCCTCACATGGCATGAAAAAGGGGCCAGTCTGTATTTAAAGCACATGGTGCAAAATTTACATCTTAGTTCGCAAAGCCCTTGGCCTTTAGCGTTGCTTTGTGCGCACAAATGCCCGTTTGCTTCTCCAGGGAGCCAAGAAGCCAAATGAAGATCAATCCAAAGTCCAACTGATCCCTCCCTACTTCCTGACCTCCCTCAGAGAATACTGATACAAGCCTTCACACCAAACCCTTTCTCCTTGACTGACATGCTAGTGGCCAAGCTGACGGTCGTCATAGGTGCTGTATCTCTTCACATGGATTCGGCGCACTCGGTCACGAAGTTCAAAACCCTCATCATCCTCACTGTGAGATGCTTGGCTTCGGCTCCTGCTTGTTGCTTCCAGCAGAGAGTTATCAGGAACCCGTGGTGTTTCATATAGTAAGACATTTAGTGTTTCCTCATAAATCCGTGCCTCGGGGAATTCAACCTACAAAAAACAGCACATGTCCTTTTCCTGATCTATACGGGATCACATGACTGGAACACATACCCATAAGTAAAAAGATACTTTGGCCAAAAAAAAAAGACAAACTATAAGAGGGGTAAAACAATTGTAA